AACAAGGTAGAATGTTCTACTAGAAGTTGCGAGTTGTAATGCTATTTAGGACTTCACAAGATCAATTAGGTAGAAGTTGATCCATAAGCTCTATTTTCACTTTAGTTTTATGTCCCAAGTTCTTGAGCTAAATGTCTAATTTCAATTCTAGCTTCATTACCTAACTCCATTATTTTTATAAATATTATCTAACTCCAAATTTTCTTCATAGTTATTATCTATTGTCAAGGATATGCCACTGGATTCCACCAACTGTGTAATGTGATGAGCAAACTGAATCAGTTAATCACTTGTTGTTACATTACAGATTTTCTTATGAGATTTGGTCAAAATTATGGAATCTGTTTAAGGTGCAAACTTGTAACCAAGAATCAAAGTTGGAGGTTTAACCAAGAGGGGAAAACTGGCATGGAACATCACTCCTGCAGTGACTTTTTGGTGCATTTGGCAGGAGAGAAATGCAAGGATCTTTAAGAATAAAAGGAGCACTGCAGACACAAATTATCAAAAGTCTTGGGGAAATGTTTTCCTGGCTTGCTTTGACATCTCAGCCCTCTGCTCTTTTCTCCTGTGCTTCCTTCTTTAAATCCCTTTGATGTTCTTCATCTCAACAGGCTTTCCTTTTTAAGGAGGTTGTTGGTGCAGGTGTATTCCCCCTAAGGTTTTGGCATTCTGTTGGGAAGTGTTCTATGGGAAAGTAAACACCTTAGATAATCTACAAAAGAGAAGACCTTATCTTTGTATCTCACCTAATTGGTGTACTCTTTGCAGGTCTCATGGTGTGGACTGCTACCATGTACTCAAGGTTCAAAGTATCGGAAACGCCAAGTGTATCGGAAAGGCAATTTTAAGAGATGTATCGGGATACACCTTGGATACGCATGCATATCGGAGAAAAACTAAGATATGCATAGATACGCTTGGAAACACTATAAATACTTTAATAAATCATAAAAATCATCCACAACACTAAATATAAGACCTCAATGAGGTGTATATACATTAAACTAATATATTTTAAAGGTTTTATGAAGAAATATATTATAGTTAATTATAATTATGGTTTCATTAAAAATCCTATGCCTAACTATAATTTATAAATTATAATTCTTAAGTTTTGATGTTTTATGAGATGGGAAAAAACCAACTCTCCTATCCAACCATAAAACATGCATTGACACAACTTCTAAGTGAAAATATAATTAAAAATTATTTATTATTTATTTTCAAAATTATAAAAAATAAATAAGCATTATATAATATATTCAAAAAATAGTTATTAAAGAAGAAATTTCAATTGCTTTGTGGATATGATAGATCATCCATAGAATTATAATATATTCAATCATTGTGATCAAATGATAAAATATAATTAATTATTATTTATTTTTTTAATTTATAAAAATATAAAAATAAAAAAAAATATTAAAGAAGAAATTTCAATTGCTCTATGGATATTATAGATAAATCTATAGATCTAAAACATATTTAGTCTTTATAGGTAGAGAAAAAATTACATTTTCAAATTTTTTGTTAATTTATATTTCCCCAAATATCTTCAGAAATTTCCATAAATCTACTGATAACACAAAATAAAATTGTGATTTTGAATGTAAGAAATGTATATCAACATAAATTTATACATTCAAGAAAAAAAAAAGAAATCACAAGATATTATAAACAATTGAAAAAATTTACCTATTTTTGCCATATTTTTTCAAATTTTGAAAAATCTTCAAAAAAAATTAACGATTCACACTTGTTTCTTGCAAATTTTTGCAAATCTAGCACTCTAGAATTGAGGTTTGGAGTTTTAGAATCATTTGGGGGTGAAAGAAGGCTTATTTCAAGGAAAAGAAGCTTACTTTCCCCCTTTATTTTTTTCAGTTTTTGGTCGTATCTTTTTCGTCGATGCGCTACTGATACACCCCCGATACGGGTCCGATACGCATGAAAAAAGACGAGACACCCGATTTCCATGCGTATCTCGTATTTTTTTTCAAGGATACTATACAATACGCCCCGTATCGGGCGTACCGTATAGAAATTTTAAACCTTGCATGTACTAATTTCTTGTTCTATTGCTACAGAGTTGTGGGATTGGCTATTCTTGATCTTTGGGTGCAGGTGGAATAGGTCAGCAAAAGTAAGCATGCTTCTTGATCCATCAACCTCTGCTTGGCACCAATGAAGAGGAAGAATAATGTGGAGGTGTGCAAGAGCAGCTTTCATATGACAGTGGGGAAGAAAGGAATGCCAAGATATTCCAAGAGAAGGAGAGAAGCCAACAAGAACTAAAGGAGTATATTTTGTAAGGGGCTATTTTGTGGCTGAAATCCCTAGATTAGTTTCATCAGTTTTCTTTTGACGATCTCTGGAGGAATTGGGCAGTAGTGGCAAGCTACTCATCTCCGAAGAATAGAGTGTGTATGAGTTGGGCACCCCCTCCTGAAGGCTTTATGAAACTAAATTTTGATAGCATCAGTCAAGGTAATTCATGTCCCTCTGGGATGGGAAGGGTTCTAAGGAATGAAAGTAGAAATGTGGTTCTCTTATACTTGGGCACCTTAGGTGTGGGAGACTCCACCAGGGCAGAATTACAAGCTGCCCTTCAAGGGGTGCAGTTTGCAGTACAGATAGGAGTGGAACAACCACTAATAGAAGGAGATTCCAAGTTGGTTGTGGGGTGGCTACAGAATTCAGAGTCTGTGTTATGGTGTTTTAAGAATGAACTTAAGAAATTTAAGTGGCTGACAAGAAGTCTGTGTGTTAGATACAATGGGTGGGGAGATCAGCAAATGCCATGGCTAATAGTTTAGCAAAGCAAGGGACAAACAGGGCACAATTGTATTGGGCACCTTTGCTTTGTAGTCTATTTTTGGTTTTGATTGTTTGGAGAGGTCGCAGCTTGTGCTTCTCCATGGGATACTTGTATCTGCTTTTCTCCATATTCTAATAAAATAACTTCATTTATCACAAAAAGGATACAAACTATAGTTCCTTTTTTGTACATGATAATCTTTTTGTAAAGCAGGGTATGGGGGTATAGGATTGCAGGGGCAGTGATTGTGAATCCCTGTGTACAGCAGCCTATTGTACATGTTTTTGGTTCTTTATTAATGATATTATGCTTTACTTTCTATCAAAAAATATACCTCCTTTAGGTTATTTACATTTAGATCTCACCCTAATTCAACCTTTAGTTGTTGTATTTTAAAATTCAGCAAGTAGGCAAATTTAGATGCAGTTGTAATGATTTTTCCTATTGCAAACAAGTATATATACAGACATTTATGGACATACATATGTCTACTACCAGAAATTGTTTTTTTTTTTTGATAGTAAAAGAAAAAAGAAACTGATTACAACAACATTTAAGTTTTTTTTTTTTTTTGAAGATCAATAAAGTAAAAAATTTTATTCAGAAAACAATAAGATACAATGATTTTGTGACAAGGAGTCACCCCACCGCTTTACAAGAGACCCAAAAAAGAACTACATCAGAAATCAATATTAGAATTAAAACATTCAAAGTATCCCAAAATTCAGCTTCAGAATTTTCTTTACGCAAGCCTTCAAATTCTGGCAGAACTTACACCCGGCAATCAATCCTTGAACTGATCACACCCCCAAGTCTTTGTTACTTCTCATAACATTAAGTTGCTAAGAAAACACCTCCAAACAACCTATCAGCTACCCAGAAAGAGGGAAAAAATGAACATGCAACTGTCAACAAATTCAGCTTCCCCTCAAGATCAGAGAACTCTTCATCTCTCAACTCTGAACTATCAAAAGAGAATAAAAAAATCTTCCTCCAAAATCATACATCAACCCCTCCCCACCCTCTGCCTAAACCACCAACTTTAATCTTCCCCATCAAACATTTCCTCCTGTCCTCCCTCCACATTCCAAATTCCTCCTCCTTCCCCTAGAACAGATTTCTTCATTCTCTCTTTCTTCTTTCTCCTGTTGAAATCTTCAAAAGCTCTCCTAGAAAAAGCCTCTCTGCCCGAGAATGACAGATCTGAATACTTGCCAACCTTTACATCCCTGTCAACCAAATTTCCAAGCTCCAAGCTGCCTTGCTTCTTTCCCTGTTCCTCTGAAGACACCTTGTCACCTTCTTCCTCAACTTCACCTCCACCCTCCCTTTCCTTCTCCTGAACTCCTCATCTCCACCTCCCCTCCAGGCAAAACCATCAATTGTTTCTTCTTCCTATTGGAAACCTGAAGTTCATTATCCTCTCCAGCAAAGACCCCTTCATTCACTCTTTGTTTCACTCCCTTTGTTTTATACAATTTCTTGTACTTATTAGTAGGGCCTGCACCTACTAAGCCTTCGTTTAAGCATGAAAAAACCTTGGTAACATGCACAATATGAGTTTTACTTGAGCTCCTGGAGGTTGAACATTGTGATGAAGACTATCAGCAATTTCATGTCATCAATGAGTTGCAAATTGAGTTAAGATGCATGTTCCAGCCTTGAGAATGATACTACTTATCTTTGATTTTCCTTTCCTTCTGTAGCTTCTTTTCTCAGCATCCTCTTGCCAATATATTCAACTAGAGATATTCTTACCAATCCAGGAAGAACACAACTATTTTTTTTTTGTTAAAAACTCATGAAGAGCCTCTCGAACTTAGGAATCTAAATTGCATGCACATTAGGACTAATGATTAAAAATTTCCTATTTACTGCTATTGCTGCAAAACAACTTCCAGTATTCCACAAAGACCTTAAAGAAGATGCAGAGATCTATAAGCAGGAAATGTGCAATAATAAGTAGACTTTAACACCAGGAAGCACAAGTGCACAACTAGTAAATCCAACGAGAGAACACCAAGGATATACAGTGGGTAACCAGCAACAACATCAATATTAAGACTAAAGAGTTAAACAAGATTTACTTACACGGAAAAATAGAGCTTAATGGCACATATATAAATAAGGTAAAATAATGCGAACATAAAAAAAGAAACAAACAGAATCAAGTTCTCACCAGTGTAAACCGGTAAAAGAATGAACCCCGTCAATTAAGTATTGCAAGGCAGCAACTGGATAGAAAGAATCAGCAGCTGCAATAGCCACTTCACTCACAGAAGGAACCTGAGCCACTTCCACACCCTTCTCCGTAAGAACATCTGCAACATCATTTATGTACTCAAATTTATCTGACCCTCCTCCAACAGTGCTCGACATATGCCTACACAAAGAGGGTCCAATCCCAGGAAGGAGATAGAGTGATGAAAATCTTTTGTCTTGAAACTTCAAGTTAATGTTGCTATTATAGGTTCCCTCTTCCAGGAAGTAACTAGCTGCAGGTCGAGTAAGTGGATCTGCAGCAGGAGGTTGGCATTTACGATCATCATCATGAAGAATATAACTAAATGATGGGTGAAACCGTTGTCTGAGAAGAGTCACTCTGAAGGAGATGCTTCGCCTGAAAGCCATCTATTGGAAAACATGTTTTTGCCAAGTTACATAAAGAAAAATTAGAACAAGACAGAAACTACAAAACTAGAAATCATCTACTTTAACTCAAACAGATTAAAAGCTCATGAAACTCAAACATAAAGGCAAAAGGAAAAAATTCAAAGTCCTAAATCTTATAATCATCTCCAAAACGAAGCAACAAGATGAACAAACCAAGATTGGCAGGGAGAGAGAGCCCCTTTACTACCTTTGCAACGTGGAAATGTCCCACATCCAGGCCCTACCTGAGGTAAGCACTAGCACAACTAGGGTAAGGTTTGGTCAGGTTTGAGAACTTTCTTGTTCATGTCGGTGCCAACTCGGGGCCTAATATCATATATATACATAAGACTATCGCCCTACCAAGATCCAAAAGTTACAATTTAACCCTCATTGTTAACAATCCCATATCGCCATCCTTGCACCCTTCAAGAGGTTTAGATTTGAGATCCATATTACTAAGATCCAACATGATATCCACACCATTAGTTTTGACTGGCTGCAAGAAGTTCCTGGCCAATTTGTTTTCTACTTTGTCCCATCTTTGATCAACGATGTTTAACATATGGAACATAAAACTATGCATCCTTCCAAAAGTTCTTTAGTTCTTCCATTGCCTTCTGCATTGCATGATACAGTCAAAACATTGCTGGCTTACTATCAGAATTAGCAATACTTAACACTCAAACAAGTAGCCCTGTGATTTTAACAATCTTCTTAGAATCATTCAAAGAATTAAGAACCATCATCATGATTCCTTAAGTTCATTTGAATTAAAACTGTTACCAAATCACCATGGCGCAAAAGAATGCTTTGCAAAGCAACAAAATTAGTTGTGGAACAAGTGGGCCCAGGCCAAATAATCGGAATCGGAATAGTCCATTCCCCCCACCTGTTCGGTTCATATGGGGATCGAAATCAGCTGGAATGGATTCACATTCCCAAGGGAGGGGGAGGGAGTGGTCATTCCCTCAAATGGGGGAATGCCATTCCACCAGAAAGGGGAATGGGATTCCGATTCCGCCCAACCAAACGGTTGGAATCTGAATGGTCCATTCTGCTTCTGATTCCAGACATCTATTCCCATGAACCAAACGACCTCCATTTAGATCTCTTCCTCGATAATGGTGTGGTTGTAGACAAAGTCCAATTCTTTCATTCATGTCAAAGTCAAGTTTAAAAAGTAAGCTGCATAAGGTGATCCACATATCAAAGCAAACTTAGGTATCAACATTCTTCCTGCAACCACATAACGAACTGCATTTTTTGTTACCATTTGAATAACTAGACATATTCCATTCACAACTTCGTCAAACAATTTAAATAATTTCTTTTGATCAGCAACGGAGAAAAGATTCATTAATTTAAAAAGTCATGTACAAGAAGAAGTTGTGGGAAGACAAGCAGTCCACAGTGTCCCACTAAGTACATCTTGCCACAAACAAACCCTAGTGGCAATCCCTTTAATTACAACACATCCCAAAGGGTAACCCAACAGAAACCTCCGCTAATTAAAGCATAGCCCAAAACATAGATTGTCTTTGAACTCCTTGTTTATCTAGTCCATCAGCCATACTATTAGCTGATCTTCTAATCCATCTTATTTGAATCACCACGTCTTTAGAAGCCTGTTTGAAGCGCCTGAGCTCATTCCTTAGTTGCCAACTTATTCCTTCCCTTGTCTTCAACCAGTTCACCACAGTTTTTGAGTCCCCTTCAACAATCAGCCTTTCAATCCCCATTTCTTTAGCTTTCTCAACTCCAAACACTACAACCTTCATTTCAGAAGTCACCACATCACCATGCTGAATAGGACCTGAGAACATGGCTACCAAATTTTCATTCTCATCCCTAATCAGGCCACCAATGCCTGTTGGCCCCAGATTTCCCAAACAGCTGCCATCGAAATTTAGTTTCTTCCACCGAGCATCTGGAGGGGACCATGATTTTATTTTATTTTTGATAAATAACATCAATTCCATTAAAATAATGAATAGATACAAGAAGATCCCCTTAGAGGCGTGAGGAGCAGCCTCTCCAAACAGAAAACACACAAACTACAACAGAGAAAACATGAATGTTGAAATTAAAACAATAGTTACAWTTGTGCCCAGAACAATGTTTCCCTATTTATCCCTTGTTTTTCCAAGACATCAGCAAAAGCATTAGCTGATCTCCCAACCCATTGTACTGTTATAGACATATTTCTTGTCAGCCATTT